TTTGTCATTAGTGCAAAACTGTACATACGTGCTTGCGAACATTCTCGAGGAATCGTCGGAACACCTCCTTGTCTTGTTCATTAGCGAATCGTGCATCGTCCACGTTGCAGTCGTACAAGGGAAGCTGGAATGAACCATAGTTACCTCAGTACTATGGATGAGTGCACTGTAGAGATGGCTTCGATTACAGCATCAGTTATTGAGTGAGGACTGCTTATGGGTAGTTCTTGATAAAGAGGTTGGATTCAGTGGCTCAAGAGGAAGTCAGAAATCGGTCAGTAATTGATGAGGTATGCAACTATTACTAAACCATATGGTTATGAAGGAGTCGCCGACAGGGTCGATAGGATCACGCAAAAAAGCTCTGTCATGAGAGTCCGTAATTTCCTTCCAAAAATCCTTCATCCTCGGAAAATTCAAAATATGCATTGTTATTAAATTATCTATCGATTTGCCTTCTAACAATAAAGTATAAACGGTTTAAAGAAAGTTGATCCATGCATGAAATACCATGCGATCCCCCTTGCGGCATTTTGACAAAAATATTTATAACACTAACAAACCAAAGATACATTAGAGAAACTCGATTCGGACAACAGATGGAAAATTCCATTGAGGAATTGAATTACCTGAAACTGTAGACGGGATTTGCGGTTTTGTTCTCCAACAGAGCCAATAATTGGACGTTCCTCTTCGGGGAGTGCTTTCATATATCGCTCGACGAGAGACTTATCCGGAACGGGCACCCAACTGTACTCAGTAGTGGTCTGAAAATATGATTGGATGCTTAGAAAGTCGGGAAAGAAGCGATCCAATAAGGATTTGGTTTTTAGAAGGAGTTTTCAGTATACCTTGGTATTTTCCTTGCCGGTCTCTACCTTGAAATTGTACGCTGCTGTAGGAAGGGTTCGATCCTGGAAGCGAAAATCTTTCACTGTGAAAGCCGAGCGAAAAAAAGATGTCTCCTAATCATTCCCGATCACTTCTTAGACTGTATTGATCATTATTGATCACAAAAAACACTGATACTGAATTTTACATTTATGCTCTTAAAATT